ATAAATCATGATGTGTGTGTGTGTGTGTGTGTGAGAGAGAGAGAGAGAGAGAGAGAGAGAGAGAGAGAGAGAGAGAGAGAGAGAGAGAGAGAGAGAGACGCACGTTATAAGTTTAACTCCATGTGAGCTGGCAAAGCTTCGCAATCCTCTGTTGGGGACGCATATCAACAATCGAATGTTGTACCTGAAGAAGATAATAAAGCATTACCTGAGCACACTAAAACTCAAAATGAAGATCCGAAAAAGACACTCAAGAAAATTATTTTTTGTCTTACCTGGTTACTTACTACAGGAATCCCATTCTCCAGTATCTTTTCCAACCTCAGCGTATCAAAGTTAGTCAAAGCGACTGTCTTTATCTTACCTGCATGTCAATTACTGAAGTAATCCAATCCAATCAAGAAAACTTTGAAGTCCATTACTATAAGTTGTACACAAATGAATGCAGACACACCTTCTTCTTTCAAATCCGTAAGGTGTTTAAGAGCATCAAGGTAGCCAGTATTAGCATAGTCCCACCTAGTTGAGGCACAAAGAAAAGAAAAACATGTCTCTATTTCAGCGCTCGATCTGAATTGAAAACTAACATGCAGACAAGAAATATAGAGCTCGTTTAAACTTGGTACGTACCGCATGTAAACTAAAATTTTCTTTTATTTTGAATTTGCAGAACATAAATTAGAGAGAGGAAGTGAGTACACGTTACCAGTGAAACTGAAGCATGTCTAAAGCAGGAACATCCATTCTCTTTAGCGAAACATTAATGCTATCACGCACAAAGCTACTCGTCATCTTGACAGGTGGCGGCACCCATTTAGTAAGACTGCATAGCATCACAAAAAACCTCATCACATTTTCTTTTAGATTCACAAAATCAATGCCTAGAATCCCGCGATTAAGGACTTACCCCCTGACGTTTTCCAAGTACTCTGGCGGACGCTCTCTACGTACTTTATTTATAAAAATACCGTAAAGATCTTCTGCAGGTCCATCTGTTAAAAACAGATAATATTTAAATAAGGAACACAAAGACCATAAACGATAAATATACAATATACAATACTCATTCACTAATTCATATTTAAAACCCTATAAGTTTTCTAACGATTTAACTAGTTACGCCACCACGAAAGTATTGTAAACAATGAGATAAATCGAAAGTGTTATTTTGGGGGTGGTTTTACATATATCAGCTAAATCGAAAGTGTTGAGTCCAGCATCAGAATATCGAAGCATGGCCTCAACGGCATTGTCTCGATCGATTCTACCCCAACCACCACTAGTCTGCCACGTTCCGTTAACCACTCTGCAAATGTCCAGTGAATCTTTTCCATTCTTAACTTCAACCCTTTGCTTATTATCATCAGTTAACAAGCTTACAAATGGCCTTGTAAATGTAAACACTTTCCTCCTCTCAATTACTCCACTACTACAATTTGCCCTTCTTCTGATTGAATTGAAAATAAATGGATTACACGAATTGATCAAGATTTCTGCCATTGGAAGACAGAGAAAATGCCCAAATTTTCTGAAAATAGTTTTATGATTTATCCTATCTTATTATATAATATATATGCAACTTCTCATCCCTCTATTCTGTACCGTATAGAAATATGACATTTTTGCCCTAATAAAGGAGGAGGGGCAGAAGAGTAAATTGACGTACAGTGGTCAGCCATATCGAAGGTGGAGAGACCGGCGTCGGCGTAGCGGAGCATGGCCTGAACGGCGTCGTCTCGGTCGATTCTTCCCCACCCGCCGCTGGTTTGCCACATCCCGTTAAGCACTCTGCATATCTCTAGTGAATCGTTCCCGTTCTTCACCACTGTTTTCTTCTTCTCCGCCACTTCAACAGTCGACTCGCAGCACCGTACCACTCGGCTTTTCTCCGACCGCCGGAAACCGCCGCAAGGCCGAGAATTGTACAAATTGGAAGTCAATTGATGCACTGACATTGCAGTAGCTGCCATTGCTGAGTGTGTGTGTGTGTGTGTGTATTTTGGGTTTATTTTTGGCAGTTATATTTAGATTGGTTTAATTTTGGGGGCGTTAGATAAGGTCTATTTCTGTCTTTTCACATTCTTCGAAATATATATTATCTTCGGGAAAAATATAATTTTCACCCCTTAAGTTTGCATCTATTCCACATTTGACCCCTCATGTTCATAAAAAAACATATTTGGTCTCATGTTTCAAAAGTTCAACACTTTTAGTCATTTCCTCAAATTTCTGTCAAAACTAACGGAATTAGATGTATTCCCATCGCTACCATAGTTGACGGAATAACGGTAAATTGACGAAAATAACAAAAAATGTCAAATTAATAAAACATGAGGGAACCAAATGTATTTTTTTGTGAACATATAGGGGACCAAATATGAAGTTGTAAACTTGAGGGATGAAAACTGTAAATTTCCCATTATTATCCGTTTAACCTTTAATAATAAAATAACAAGTAATCATTTGTCTAATGTAACACCAATCTTTAATTAAAATAATCATCATACATAACATACTACTTAATGAAATTAAAAAATAAAGTAAAAAATAACAATGTTGTCAAATAATCATTGATTCGATGTAGGCCGAAAAACAGGATTTAGGGCCTGGTCCAATAAGCCATGGCAGCCCAACAAAATTATTAAAGCCCATAGAGACGAGCATCTTGGCCCAATGGGCCGAAAGGGGAAACCCGTAGACTAGTTGTCGAGCGTGCCACGAATGTACGGAGCTGAAAGTCAGGTCCGGTAATTAGAAACGCGTTTATTGGTATGACAAGGCGTCGCTGACAACCGGTCAGTGGCATTTTAGTGACGAAATGACCGTATAAATAAGAAACTCAACTCCCTCCTATAGAAGACCGTTTGCCTCCTCAGTCCTATCGTGGGACCTCCCCAAGGACCGTATGCATGCTCGGTCCTCGGCAGCGCCTCCCTTCTGCTCGGATAGATCGACAAGAGCTTGGGTTGCTTTGTAGCGGGCCTCGTCTCTTCGGGCCGTATTACAATCTGGATCAATCACTAACTCAAATTTATATGTGTTGAAAAGGAATCTGGAGTGAATACACCTACCTCACCCATATAATTAATTCTAAATTTAATTTACAGATGCACCTAAATATATAATTCATTACTGAGTTGAGTTGAGTTTAGTTTAAATAAATAAAATTTGTCACCACCCGTCAACCTTGTCAGCCATGAATTTTCTTTGTTATATAAGTTGTCAATTTACTACTTCAGTCAACTATGTATATATTCAATATTAAAAATAATAATACTCACATTTTTTCAATTGGACCAAAACTATCTTAAATATTCACTTACAAATTAAAAGTAATTTGTGCTTAAAATACATGTAAATTAATCAACATTTTCTATCTCGGATAAAAACCGGCAAACCACCTCGAACAGTGGCGGTCAAACCGGGCACAAACTTAGGAGCCCGACCCGGATCAGCGACCCGGAAATCAAACCGCCGGATCAAAGACAAAGCAACAGTCTTCATCTCAACGACCGCCATTTCCATACCCAAACAAACCCGAGGACCCGCCTGAAAAACCGGATACTTAAACGGGTTCTCCTGCTTAAAAAGCCCGTTCTCATTAAGCCATCTCTCCGGCTTGAATTCGAGACAATCGCCGCCCCATATTTTCTCCATCCTCCCCATCGCGTACGGGTGGTACGTAACCCTCGTCCCTTTAGCGACGAATGTTCCGTCGGCGAGATAATCGTCTTCGTCGCAGAATTTCGAGTCGAACTGCACCGGCGGCAGGAGCCGCATGCTCTCGTGCACCGCCGCCTGCAGGTACTGCATTTCACGTAGCTGAGAAAAAGTCACCGGTTCTTTGTTTTCTCGACCCATGACCCGGTCCGATTCTTCCCGGATCGATTCGACTGCTCCCGGGTTCTCCGCCAGTAGCAGGAAGAAACCGGTTAGCGACGACGCCACCGTGTCCCGGCCGGCGAGGAGAAAGCTGATCACTATGTCCCGGAGAAAAACGTCGTCGTTTATCGTCCCCATGAATCTTGACAGAAGATCTTCATGTGAAAAGTTGTCGTCGGCGGCGGCGGCGGTGGCGGCGGTGGCGGCAATAACCTGGTTTCTCTTATGTCTGATCACGCCGTCGGCGAGCTCGTGGATGGATTTAATGGCTTCTCTCAGCTGCTTCTCCGATCCGACGTTGAAGAATCTTTTCAGCTTCCACACAAGCGGCGGCGTGGTGATAGCCCTCTCCGCCGAGAGTTTCGAAGCTAAATCGAAAGCGTAAGCGAATTCGGAAACGGGTAAGGATAGGTTCAAACAACCCGGATCCATTCCGAACGAGAATCTGCATATACTGTCGAACGAGAATCGCCGGAAAATATCCTGCAAATCGACGGCGGTGTCGGTGCCGGAAAATGACGTCAGCAGCGGCGTAAGCCTGGACTCGATCTCCGACGAGACGATGCCGAAGGCGTAGGATCTGATGGAGATGCTGCCGAGCTCGAGGATTGCCATTTTCCGTTGAAGCTTCCATAAATCGCCGTCGACGTTGAAGATTCCCCGGCCGAGTAGATCGCCGAGGAGGGTGGAGAACGGTTTCCCCTTCGGGTAGTTGTCGAAGCGCGTTTTCAGCACGTGCTCCACGTTTTTCGGGTTCGATGTAATTATGTTGTTGAGCACGTGGACGTGGATTGTACCTGTAGGGGATTGTGAGAGGAGATGGGTGTACCAGTCGCAGAGATTGTTGTACCTTAACGACCAGCTTGAAGTGAGGAAACTCTGACACGTGTCGCAGCTGCAGTACGGCTTCAGTCTGAAGATTGACAGACCCAAGAAAACGGCGGAGGAGATTAAGAAGAAGAAGAAGAACATGCAAACTAACGCCGTTATTAACGGAGACAACATTTTTTTTAGAGAGAGAAAGAAAAAATATTCCAGATTGATTGTGAGGAAAGAAATTTAGAATGTGGTTTATATTGTATTTGATGTGATTTGTTGTGTAGTTAATTGACAGCTACGTTTTTTTGGGGGCAGTTGTGTAACTATTTGACATGAGGGAAAATTAAAGCACGTGGGAGAAACTAAATATACATGAAAAACGCGTGTTAAATAGGCAAACGAATATGAACATGTGGATTTTAAGAGGAAATGGCGTGTGTTATTTTACTTGTTGGGAAGTGCTAATAAGAACAAAATTGAAAATAATTTATTTATTTTAATTTTTTTTTTATCAATTATCCAACTATAATTGTTACTAGTTCTTTATTATTTATTTATTTTCTATTGTGTATATACGAGTGGTGAAAAATCAAGCTTCGAGAATGAATGTTAGAAATTTTCAACTGAGTCTTCCTTGGACTATTTCTAGAGCTTAACTATCAAGTCAAAGTTGGGATTATTAATGGCTTAATTCCACTTTGCACCCTTGAAATATACCATTTTGGCACTTTGCACCCTCGAAACAAATTAATAGCACTTTGCACCCTCGAAATACAATAAATCATGCATAATGCACCCCAAATGAATTTTTAAAGCTAAAAAATGTAATTTAATATTTTTAGTGGTATTTTTTTTAGGATGCCAAATCTCAAATATTTTTTTTATTCATCAATCATTTTGAAACTATAAAGTTCAAAAATAAAAATAAATTTTATATATATATTAATTTTTTTTATAACAAAAATCAAATATTTTACGAAAAAAAAATCATTCAACTATTTCGTTATCAAGTTATCTGAAAATCATATTTTCTTCCAAGTATTTTCACCTAATATTTTCAAACAGTTACATAAAAGCTCCATCAATCGAATAATTTAGTGATAAAAGCTTATTTTTTATTTTTTATTTTGTAAGAAAATGTAGGCTTTTTAAATAATCCGTGTAGTTTTTATTTTTTCGCACTTTGTCCGCTCGAAATTAGGTTGGGGGTTCAAGAAAATAACAATTTTTTTTTTTATTTTGCACCCCGAAAAAAAAAAAACACCAATGAAAAATAAAATTGCCTTTATTATTCAATTCAGGGTGCATTGTGAATGATTTATTGTGTTTCGAGGGTGCAAAGTGCTATTAATTTGTTTCGAGGGTGCAAAGTGCCAAAATGGCATATTTCAAGGGTGCAAAGTGGAATTAAGCCGATTATTAATATTAAAAGTTAAAACTGAATACAGTCAAATTCTAAGATTTCATGCGGATAAATCTTTGAATTATTACACTGCTATAAGTACTATATATAGTATTGTTGCAATTAATAATACGTTTATATATGATTATATGTTCTTTAGAAATATCCTTAATGCATTTTTATAATCTTTTATGTTGTCTGCTATACAACAATGAAAAATGTGTGGTGATAGACTTTTATCGCATTTCTCTTTTGTCAAGACATGATTAATTATATTATTAATTCAAAGGTCCCATAATCAATTTCTTTTTAGGGGTAGTATATATATGGTAGAGGTCCCTAGTTAGAAACATAATTAGATGTGGAATACAACCTTAATATTTTTCTATGAACTAAATACTTTTTAGAAAAATAAATATAAGCCACGTCCTCAATTTTTCTTTTATCCCTAATTTACCCTTGACCTAAATCCATAAATTCTAAAGTCACGTTTCTCTCAGATTTTTTTTCTTTTTTCTATTCTCCCTTGTTTCTCTCAGATTTTTTTCTTTCTTTTTTCTATTCTCCCTCTCAATCTCGTTCCCTCTCTCGCATCTCGCGCTCTCTCTCTCTCTCTCTCTCTCTCTCTCTCTCTCTCTCTCTCTCTCTCTCTCTCTCTCTCTCTCTCTCTCTCTCTCTCTCTCTCTCTCTCTCGACAATCTTTCTCTGTATATTTCTCTCTCTCTCAATGTTTATTTCTCTATTTTTCGATATCAATATCTCTCTGTCTCTTTCGTTCTCCACCACTCCAATCCACTATTGAGAGGAGCGGTGGTTATGGCGGTGGAGATGGCGGCAATAAACGGATGGTTGTAGAGGCAAGGAGACGGTGGCTATGGTGGTTTAAGGTCAGATATATGGTGGAAGGCGCGGCGACGATGTTGGGCATGGATGATGGCGTGATGGCGGCGCTCGGTGATGGTGGTGGTGGTAGATGGTGGTGGATGGTGGTGGTGGAGGAGCGAATCTAGGGTTTGGTGGGGAAAATTAAAAAAAATTCGATTTGGATGTCTATGGGTCTGGCGGCTAAGGTTTGTAGGAGGAGTTAGGGTTTCAAGATGTCTATAGGTGACTACGGATTACTAAAGTTTCCTATGGGTTTCTGGAGATGTCTACGACTGTTGGCCGAAAACCTACACGCAAGTGCACGTATCGTACAAGTAATATAGTGGACCAAAAGTCCGGATATTGAACCCACAGAGAATATTTAATTATCTAATATCCTAAACTCTAAATTCTACCAATTATTATCAAGCCCACCCTACACAGTAAAATTTTAGAGAGAATTAACTAAATTAAATTAAATTAAAAAGCAAATTAAAACGACAAAGCAAGAAAACAAATTAAACACGAAGATTTATCAGAGTAAACAAGCCTATGATTTTATTCTCCCCCTATGTGATTATTATTTCACCCAATTCCTTCAATTATGCAAGCAATTAACCCGGATTATTAACATGAGATGCTAAAATAATCATAACCCGCTTCCGCGTGTATTACGATTCTAATACCCTAGAATCAATTACTATATATTCCTATGCAATTAATTCTAGAACACAACATTAAGCACAAATCTCAATAAATGGCTACCTAAGAGATTAACTATATTCCTATGTTAATAACACAAAGACTCTTCTACCACAGTTCTAATTATTAACCCGATCTTCCGATTCATGCGATTAACAATAACATAAAAGCGCATAAAGTGGCCAGTTTCATGAACTTAATAAAACAAGTAGAATAAATAATCCGGAATTAAAACTTGCATAAAATCATAGAATAGGGTTCATAAATCCCACATAGGGTTCCAAATAAAATCCTAGAAATAAGAAATTTAGCTACTCATGATTAAAGCAAAAATACAAATAAAATAAGTCATAAACGATAAATCTATGCTTAGAGTCTTCGAATTCTTCGTCTTCGTTATTGCTTTGTTGCTCTCCAAATTGCGTCAAAAAAGATCCCCAATTGTGTAATTAGGAGTCCTTTACTGCGCCTTTTCGTCATCTCGGACGGGGGTCCCACAATTTGAACTAAAACTCGGACGGGGTCCGAGCTTTTAAATCTTCAAAATTTTGATTTTTTCACTTTTGACCCATATTTTCTCCAAAATTGCAGTTTTGACCCCATACTTTTCCAATTCTTCAATTTGTACCTAAAATACAATAAATCAACTTTTTAAGCACCAATTATCGTTAAAACACACCAAAAGCTCAAATAAAAAGGTACGATAAAGTGTAAAAATATACACTTAACAACGACCGAAAAAATAAAAAAAAAAATCATAATTTTCAATTTATGTAGAAAAGAAGGGGAAAAATAGATTTTGATATAATGATAAAATACGGGAAGAAAAAAAAACGTGTTCCACGTAAAAATAAAAAAAAATGCTAGATACAAACTTAAAAATGTTAAATATTACCATAGTTCATCATTATAGTATATATATTTACAATTTGGTGTAATTTCGACTTTGTGAGTGGAGGGGCATTTTTGGAATAAATTTAATAAATGATGTGAAGCAAATTTTAATTAGACTTATCATTTTGTTCTAATAAGGTTTGTCACCAGGGACTTATATCTTAAGACCCCTTCTTTCCTTCTTTTTAATGCTTAAACATTTTGAAATATTTGAAGTTTGAAACTTTTTTTACCCTTAAGTGGAAATTTTATAGGTCTCCCAACTCAATATTGATAGACTTGATTAGATTAAACATGATTATATAATTAATGGGATTTATTATTATTATTACTTTACAATTATTACTATTATTAGTAGTAGTAGTATAAATTCAAGTATTTTATTATTTAATAGTATTTTTTACTTACACATATATTCAACCAGGTTCATTTGATGCAGGGTATCGTGATAACTTTGTCTAATGGTGATTTTATGCCCAAATTAATTCTGGTTACATGAATTAAAAAAAAAAAAAATTAACTAAGTGCGAATAAAATTGATAACCGAATTTTTTTTTGGCATTGGCATTAAAAATAGGTCAGTTGGCTTTGCCATTACGAGGTTGGAGAACAAACATGCAAGTAGTAGTATATTCATAACTTGAAATAAACGTTTTTATTTTTGTTGAAGTTGACATCTTCAATGAATTAACACGTTTTAAATGAGAAAAAAAGCAATGAAGAATTTCAATTACAAAAAGATATCGACATGTGTTTTTCTTTTTTTAGTTTTTACCTGCGCTACAGTTTTGTGGTTTGCCCTATTTTGATTTGGTAATTAATTATGTTTCATTCTGAAGATTGACAGAGCCAAGAAAATGGCGCCATTGGAGACACTTTTAGAGAGAGAAAAATGGCGGGAAAAAATGCAGCAAAATGCCTTTTTTTTTCCTTTTTTATATTTTTTTGGGTTTAAGGCGAAGTCGATATCTTCAATAAACACGTTTTAAATGATAAAGTATTATTTGGGAAATTTCAAGTACGATGAAATCGACATGTGTTATTTTAGTCTTTATAGGGCACTAGTTTTTGTGGTAATAGAAGTTTGGCCTATTTTGTCTGTATTAAACTGAAGATGATGATTGGTCGCTTATGTTTCTGTTAATTTTGCAATTTATGTCGGCCCTGATTTTTTATTTTTTTATTATTATTTATTGTTATTTTTTATTCTAAAAGTTCCTCACCGTTGAAATTTTAAAAATTCATTTTACATGATAATTCTTAATTCTACTTTGCACCTCGAAAAATAATTTATGGCACTTTACACTCTCAAAACACATTTAATCGTTCAAAATGCACCCCGCTCTATGTTCCGGTCATATTTTTCGGCATTGACTAATTTTCTGATTTTGTCAAAAGGGGTACTTTAGCACTTTGCAGCCCAAAGAAAAAGTCGATGAAGGGACAAAAGTACGTCTGTTGACAATCAAAAAATTATTCAACGCCGGAAAATATGACCTGAAAATAGATCGGGGTGCATTTTGAATGATTAAATGTGTTTTGAGGGCGCAAAGTGCCATAAATTATTTTTGAGGATGCAAAGTTCTAAAATGATGCATTTCGAAGGTCCAAAGTGGAATTAAGCCTACATAATAATATTTTGGGTTAAATACAAAAACACCCCTGTACTATGGACTTTGTATCATTTACCCCCCTGTACTACACATAAATACAAAAACCCCCCTCACATTGCATTTTTTCCAAAATATGACGAAAATACCCCTACTCAAGCATAAATATATATATATATATATATATATATATATATATATATATATATATATATATATATTTTTTTTTTTTATTTATTTTTTTTCTGTGAGCCATTATCCACCATATATTTTACCATTTTCAGTCAATTTTACGTTGAAAATTTTGGTATATATTTATACTTTTTTCTCCAAAACATCTAATTGCTTACATTTTTTTTTTCTAAATAAAACCTTTTATTTTTGTCATGTTGAGTTTCTTCATTTTTTTTCTTAAATGTCTTCCGGTAGTTCAAACATCCTAAGATTACAAACATCTTTACAATCCTATTATTGTTGAGAATTTGAACTACCGGAAGACATTTAAGAAAAATAAGAAGAAATTCAAAATGAAAAAAATAAAAGGTTTTTATTCAGAAAATTAAAAAAAAAAAATCTAAGTAATTAAATGTTTTGAAGGAAAAAATAAAAAAAAATAAAAATTTCCCTAGTAAAATTAACCGAAAATGTTAAAAAATATAGTGGAAGATGGCTCAAACAAACCCTTATATTTATAGGTTTAGCAGGGGTATTTTCGTCATATTTTGGAAAAAATATAATTGCAGGGAGATTTTTGTATTTATGTGTAGTACAGGGGGGTAAATGATACAAAGTCCATAGTACAGGGGTGTTTTTGTATTTAACCCTAATATTTTTTTAGGTTAAATACACTTTACACCCATCAAGCCCTTGAAGTTTTCTGATTTTCTCTTCTATGGGATGAAATAATAAAAAGAATAATTAAATTATATTATTAAAAATATGTAGTGGAAGAAATGCAACATTTAAAATTTTAAAATTGTCATCTTGTTTTGATACCATATTTAATAAATCCATAAACAATACATTTATTTATATACATTTATTGAATACTTACAACTAAGAAGGCATGTTTAAACAATAAATTCTCTTTAATTTCTACATCACTAATTTTATTAATTAAATGTCTATGCATTATATTTATAGTAAATTTTAAAACACAAGTTGATGTTTAAGGGATAATAACTATTACAAATAATACCTTAAAGGGGTACCTATTTAACCTTAATTTTTCAAGACAAAAGTACACAAGTCATTATTTATTTCATTACATCTATATCACACATATATATTATACTTATATATATATATATATATATATATAAATAAAATCAGCGGCGGAAGCCATATTTGACGACGGCGGCAATATGAGTGTACATGAAATAATCATCCCAAAATATGGTCTTCGGGTCAAAGTTGAACATTTCATACTCAATTATTCCATAGTTTTCCTTTGCTGCCCTTATCATATTTTCAGTGTTCATGTCATCAAAACTGCACATATATATACACACAATTACATTATCATTCACGACGCTGCGGGGTTTC